AGAATTCCGACGGCCGCCTGAAATCATTCCGAACTCCCGTGTGAGCTGGGCAACCCGCTCAGTTCTCGGGGCTCGAGCCCCGGCAGAAGGGGAGGAACTCCGGTCCTTTTCCAGGTCATTGTTCTCTCGTCCTATTTTCTGGCTTCTGCTCGGTCGCCGATTTCAGCTCTAAACCGCACGTGCTCGGAGACAGGGGTAAAATTTGGTTTCCGTCCTGCCAGACGTGGGTCTGAGCCCGGACATCCCAGCAACGCCAGCTGTCTTTTATTTGGAGCTGTAGGAGCTGTTTGCCTTGATTCAATTGTTTGTTACTTGATTCAGTTAGGGCAGGGTCCAGCGGGAAGCAACGGCTCTGCCGAGGGCGGTGAATCCGGTGGGTTTTTCCCGTACATCTCAAATCACCAACTCCACCAGCCCCTGCCCCACAACACGTTTTTACCCAGGTACATCAGCTTTCTTGAGGCCTAGGGGCTCAGCTGGGCTGATTCCATCTTTCATTCTCTTGTTCCTTGAGTGAGCAACCACGCATCCCTGCACAGTTAGTTGGGTGACTTCAGGTTTTTCAGAACTTGTGGTTATCTGTGTGCGTGACCCATTTAGATTTAGTATTTCCTCCTTTCTTAGAGGAAAGGTAGCTGCCACACCCACACTCCGATCAGAGTGGAGATGTCCGTGTTTCATGGACGTGCCCAAGACTCACAAGCCAGAATAAGTTCAGGATGTTCCCAGTGATGTGGCCGTGCTCGGCGTGTGCGATGCCTCACGTCTGTGGCCCTCCATGCTTGGGTTTAAACCTCAAAATCACTGTGCAGGCTGCGGGCTTGCAACCTTTGCATTGCAAATCATGCGGTGTAGGAAAGCGAACTAGAGGTTTTCTCACCCAGCCCCGATACTGCTGTTTAATATTTTTGCTGACCTCGCTTGTGCATAACACTGCCTTTGGGAAGAAAGAGGAGGACAGGCAGAGAGCGCCTGTAAACGATGGAGCGTAAGGAAGCCCGTTCATCAGGAGCTACCTTATGACCTCTTATTTGATTATGATCGTCAGTGGAAATTAAAGCATAAAATTCGCTTCCTGCTCCACTCTGCCTCACTTGCTCCTAATTCCCCATTTTGGAAGAGTTTGGAGCCATACATATTTAGAATAACTGCTTTGAATTCACGTTATTGCCCAAGCAGAGTGTGTTAGGAGCTGCTGTGGCTGCATGTGAGTCTTTTCTCTTTGCCCGTCGCACCACTTTATTAAAGCGCTGAAGTTTGCACTGCTGGTGGCACTTCCTTGATGCCTTCCGTCTCAAAACAGCTTGTCTTACGTTCTGACTTCTCACTGCTGCGAGGTCAGTATCTATATGAGACAATTTAACAGGCAGGGAGACTGAGACGTGAAGGAGTGATGTGTCACAGGGAAGATGGCTGTTCGAGACCAAGTACCGGAGCCCAGGCTGTGAACGCCGTGTCCTGCGTGGTCTCCGGTGAGCGCAGAACCCATTGAAGATTTCGGTTTGCCTGCCATTACCGAGTCCTGAGCATGCCACCAAAACGTCAGCAGGTTATTTTTTTTTTCCATCTGGAAACCATCAAGCTCTGAAAACCTGAAATTACAGCTTATACCTGTTTGACTTGCTAATGTCTTCCAAAGTGTGGGAAACATCAATCCTTCCTATTCCTAAGGCTGCAGAGTGCCAATCTGTGCCCTTCTGAGGTAGCAGAGAACTTAGTACACTGACATTTGCCTCCTCTTGCTTTAAATTCGATTGTTGCCTTCTGCGTGTGGGCAGATGATATATTCCACTTTTTATGTGGCACGTGGCTTCTCCCTGTCACATCAACAAGCACTTTCCTCTCAATGGACATGTATTCAAAGCAGAGAGAGTTGGTTTATTTATGTCACCTGCCTGCACAGCCTAAAGGGCTTGATGGCACTCGCTGTTCTGCATGAGGGGTGTTCTAGTGCCAGTATTTCCATTACAGAGATAAGGTGAGCAAAGGGGTGTAAGAAACAGACATTACTTAAAAGCTGAAATCTCATCGTGCATCTCAAGGATGGGAGAACTGAGTCTCGCCACAGCTCCTGAACACTACTAATGCCTCTCAGAAGCCTCCTCTGCACAGTTTAGTGCTGACAGTGAACTTGTGTGTATATGATTGTCTGATGACTCGGGTTTTTGTTTCCTCATCTAACCGTATCAGATTGGCTAAGGCTTTAGCTTTTAGGAGGACTGTGTAAGTGTCTTGTAGTCACCTGTGCAGGGTTGGGAAGGGCAGATCTCGTTGATGGTTATGTGTAATCCAGAGCTGTTAACGCAAATTGCAGAGTTTTAAGTTTCTCTTGCTTTGACTTAAGGGAGAAAACTTTGTGGAAGCGTGGAAAGGACTGCTTTCATTAAATGAGGAAATCCATAATCGTTTCCTGCGACTCCTAATCTCCACTTTTACTTGTCCCCTGGTGCGAATTGAGACCACTCAAACTCTGTTGTCAAAGGATAAGCAGGAGCAGTTGGAAGCCACCTAGCCCTTCGTTTTTGCTCTGTCACTGTTTGCTGTTCCAGTGAAGCAGTGATGTTTTTCCTCTCTTTACAGTGGCAATGCCTTTGGCCTGGAATATTGTGTAGAAAATTATTGAAAGGGATGGCGTGAGCTGCTGGCTCCTCTTAAACAGTCTGAACATAATTAGTATGATAATAGGTGATCCGTGTCACTCTAAGGCAAGCCGTGTTCCTGATTCGTTGTAGTAGATGAGGCTGTGTGGACCTTTTCCTTCCTGTTTCAAGGAGGGAAGTTCTGGCCTGCACTGGCTCCGACGGAGTGAACAAGTCCCCTGGTAGGTTCTCTGAACACTGGTGAAGGAAGTAGTGATCTGGACAAGAGAGTTGCTCGTAGCTGTGAAATCTCGTGCCTTTCCTCACTGTGTCACTGTGTGGGATTACGCATCACTGCTTAACCTGGACTGTTGTCTTCCTAGAACTCTACTATGACCGAGGAAACCACCATGAGTTCGTGTCTCTGGTGAAAGACCTGGCCCGTCCTGGTGAATTCACTCAGTCGCAGACATTCGACTTCGAGTTCACACATGTGGAAAAACCTTACGAGTCCTACACGGGGCAGAATGTGAAGTTACGGTGAGCTCACCTCCTCCCCTCGCTGACCCCAGTTCTTGGTTCTGTGCAGCGTGCAAGTACTGACACTTACTGTGGTGATATTAGAGTGCAGCATCCCTTCCCAGACATCCCTGCAAGCTTATAACATAACTCCAAATGAATTTTGGTGAGCTGAGTTGTAAAAGGCTTTACTTTTATAAGCATGCATCAGGCCTTGTGGAACTTGTTTTGCACCGTTTAAGTAATAAGAGAACCTTCTGAATCAACCAAATCTTTCTAATTTATTTGGTAATTCAAAAACCAAAAGAAATTGTTTGCTTTAGTCTCCAATGGGGACGTTTTCGCTGCCTTGTAATCAGTCTTGTCGACTTTAATTGTGCTCTATATGCAAACAGATGCCTAGCTCGTGTCTTGTTCATATGTTGCAAACTGTATTTCACATCTAGGCACTGCAGCTGACTTGTCACTGGCTTTGAAGGGGGGGGTTGGAAAATTCTGAGATCCGCAGAAGAGGTGTGTCTGTGGAGACTGGTGTGATCTAATCTCTTGCAAAAGGGCAGTGGTTTTAACATGTACAAGCTGTTACTCAGATCCCCAAAATGGTGCTTAAGTAACTCGGGCTCACAAATGCATGCAAGCTTAGAGAACTCTTAGAAAGTCTGCTTTTCCATTTGAAAATGCCTATCTGTCTCTTCCAACATGGGGTATTGGCTGCTCCAGAAGCCCGGGTACCAGTAAGACTGCTTGGGTAGCCCAGTGCGATCCGTTCAGCCCCACATCCCTCCCTGCTTCGCCTCTGTGGCTACTTGTACAACTCTAACAGGAGGGGGACTCTCCTTGCAGGTATTTCCTCCGAGCCACTGTCAGCCGCAGATTGAATGATGTGGTGAAGGAGATGGACATAGTTGTGCACACCCTGAGCACCTACCCAGAGCTCAACTCCTCTATTAAGATGGAGGTGGGGATTGAGGATTGCCTGCACATTGAGTTCGAGTATAACAAGTCCAAGTAAGTGCCTCAAGAGCTGCCCGCGGCTGCGGGGAACCATCTGCTACAGGGGACAGCTTGGTTTGGAAGCCTGAGGCATGTCTTGCATGTGATCCTCAAAGGGATTCTTTGTTCATGGGCTTCAGCGAAGCTGGCAGACAGTTCAGATCCTGGTTGAGGGTCTTTGGGTTCTGCTCCTTGCTCATAGATGTGCCCTCCAGACCAAGGAGTGGGAAGCAATGGCTGCAGCTTACTGAGCTTGGAGCACAGCGTGAGGCTGTTGCAGTAACGTCACATTCCCTGTATCCTCGGGAGGATCAGTATTTCCAAGTGTCTTCAAAGTATAACATTTGCTCTGTACCAGCCAATACAGCTGAAGTGGGACCTTAATTCAGGCACAGAAGTTGGAAACAACACTACTGTTACTGCATCTTTCCCAGCTGGTGCTAGCAAATCTCCTTGCATTGTAACATTTGGCTTAGTTTTAATTGACCTAAAAAATTGGTTTTGGAGGCTTTGCTGTCACAGGGGTTTCTTGCAGATATGCAGCCTGAAATTACGTTTTTGATTTATCTGGTCATGCTAAATGTTCTTGTCGATTTCCAAAAGACTGGAGGATGAAAGATTAAGTACTGTTTACAGCAACCTAGTGGAGGTGGTTGATACACCATCTGAAATTTACAGCTGGGGCCACTGATAAGAGCAAAGTATCTGACAAGCAAGTTCCTGCTCTTCAATCTGAGCCCTGGTCTGCTGCGCAGTGTTTGATTGCGGTGCTTTCTTCCTTCATGTGCCAGGTATCACTTAAAAGATGTGATTGTCGGAAAGATCTACTTCCTGCTGGTGCGAATCAAGATCAAACACATGGAGATAGACATCATCAAGAGAGAAACAACAGGGACTGGACCCAACGTGTATCATGAGAACGACACAATAGCTAAATACGAGATCATGGATGGGGCACCTGTGAGAGGTGAGAAGGCAGATGAACCCTTCAGAATTCCTCTTCTGAAGTGTTTTGGGGTGGGAATAAGAATGCTGCAGCATCTTTAGCTGCATCTGTGTGCTCAGTAGTAGCATGCATCCTGTTTCAGTGGTGGACTCATGGCAGTTTATGTAGGTGATTAAATTTGATCCCTTTCCTTCTCTGGTATGATGAGGAGGAATTTAGGCATCATGAGTTGCAATGACTGAATTCTTTTGATGAAGCAGTGGCAGAACCAGGAATAGGTGTAAATTCACTGTTGGCATGGGCCACCAGCTGGCGTTGCTGCAACTTGGAGCAGAAAGATGGTGTTCTAGCTCTGTGCCAATCTCCTGTGCCACTTGTTTTCCAGTTCCATTGCCCAGCAGAGTCACCTGCCAGAGAAAATGTCACCTTACTCATTTTTTCCTGCAGTCCTGTCTTGACGCGGGTCACAAATGAGTCCTATACTGTTAAAGTGGAGATGGAATAACTGCCAGCAAGGGCAGGATCTGGCTATGGACCCTGCACGGTGATTTTTTTAAGGGAGCTTTCAGCTCATCTTACTCCACTTGTGGAAAGGATTACAAAGTTTGTGGCCTGGTGAGGTTTAGTTTTGCTGGTGGTCTCCTAGTTTTATCTGTGCGTTCTGTCTGTGCCGATGGTTCTGTGCACTTTGTAGGGGAGTCCATTCCCATCAGACTCTTTCTGGCTGGCTACGAGCTGACCCCAACGATGAGGGACATCAATAAGAAGTTCTCGGTGCGTTATTACCTCAATCTGGTGCTCATCGATGAGGAAGAGAGACGCTACTTTAAACAGCAGGTGAGAAACAGAGCTTTTACTTCTTCTTGGACCTGTAGACTGTCGCTTGGGATACTATGTTATAAGGACCTTCTGGGAATTTGGGATTCCGATGAGGGAGAATGACGTTCTTGACTGAATATCTGTAAGGACTAGACAAATTAGAGTGTGTGAAGAGGGTCTGAAAGGAATGGTTCGCACAGGTCAGCTGTGCGTGGTGGTAGGGATGCATGTAGAAGGTGCCCATCTGGGATTTTTCCCTCTCTGTTGCCTTGTGGTGGAGCTTCTGTCCTTCACATTATCAATTCCAACGGCAATAGGACAGAGCTGCCCTAGACGTCCAGTGGGTTGCCTCCGTGTGCTCAGATCCTGGGGAGGAGCTCCCTGCCCAGATTTGCAGGAAGGCTGCACTGCGAGGCCTCTGCTTGCCGCTGCAAGTGGCCTCGGGCACACGGCTGAGGGTGGAACGTGCCAGCACGGGCTGAGTTTTCACTGGGTGCAAGCTGCTCACCTGGCAGCTCGGTTCCGCCGTAGGGTCCGGGTGGGGACGGGAGAAGGTCTCACAAGCCCTGACGAGCCTTGCTGGCTGTGTTACTACAGGAGGTGGTGCTTTGGCGGAAAGGAGACATAGTGAGGAAGAGCATGTCCCACCAAGCAGCCATCGCCTCTCAGCGGTTTGAGGGGACATCCTCGCACACCGAGGCCAAGACCCCCAGCCAGCCTGCAGAGAACAACGGCCGGCAGTGAGAGCCCACGCAGAGGAAGGCTGCTGTGGAGCCAGTGGGGACAGCAGCGAGGAGGAAGAAAAAAAAACACTTCAGAGACTTCGTGAAAATAAATATCCGTTTTTGACTTAATTCCTTTCTTCAAAGGACTCGTAGGGTGGGAAGGGGATGGGAGGACGAGGCGAGCTGGAGCACTGGTGGTGCGGAGTTGAAGGTACCTCAGTGCTCCCCAACCAACTACATTCCTCTGGGGTCGGCTGCGTTGAGGCGTGTGTCCGGAGGCTGCGGAGCTGCCTGATCTCCTCTTTGCCCCGAGACCCCTTCAGTGTGGCAGCGGGGAGGGAGAGAGCAAGTGACGGCCAAATCTGCTGCTTCTTCCCAGCGGTGTGGAGGTCGCTTTGGGCCTGTGTAGGATGGATGTTTTTCTTGCCTTTCTGAAATCTTCATGAGGGAAAACGACACAGTGATTAGCTGGAAGGTGGAGAAGGGAGTCAGAGACTGAGGTGCAGCCTACTTGAAATTGCGTAGTCTTATCCCCTTGCTGCCTCCTCTTCCTCTTCGTGCTGGCATTGGATTCCTTGTCACAGTCATGTAACGTAGTTGAGCCAGCCCTGGGTCCACCACCTGGCCGTGTGGAGCAGGGGCAGCAGGCGTGCTGACTGCCATGGTGTGTCGAGGGGGAGCTGTGGCTGGTAGGAAGGAGCGAGGCACGCGAACGAAGTAGGAGGTGGCACAGGTTGGGCAGAGCAGTGAAGGTCCCGGTGCTGCTGAGTGGGCAAGAAGTGGGGGCAGGAAGGCTCCTGGCCAAAAGCAGTGCCTTCCTAGTCTTGTCCTGGCAGCTGCCTGAGTGCCCCTGAGATTCAGTCTCTGTGGTTGCTGCACTCATACAGGTCCCAGTTGCTGCTGCAGAGCAGAGACAGACCAGCCTTGAGAGGTCTAGAGGATAGTTTTGGCTCGTGAGAAATAAACGGGGGCTCTCTCGGGAGTGGGCTTACCTTGCACACGCTGCCCTGCTCGTGTCTTGTGTCCCTGTGACAGAACAGGCTTTGTAGTAGGAACAGACAGCAGTATAGAAACACGTGAGTATTGTTTTGTTTGCTCCCTCGTGCCTGCAGGATGAGGATTAATAAGGACAGAAAGTGGACGCAATTGTTCTAAGAAGCTCATGGTCTGCGTGTGCTGGTGGATGAAGCCAAACAGCAGCTGGAAGGATGGTAGAGCGCTCTGATCCCAGAGACACATTCCTGAGGCCTGAGCTGAAATCACCAGTGAGGTCCGAGGGTATGCCGTGAACTGAGAACCTCAATGCGGGCTTTTTCTTTTCTAAAATAAGCTTCTTTCAGTCTTCAGCTAAGTAGAATCATAAGAACGTTTCCAGCAGGGAATTACTCCTCCATTAAAAATCAGATGTGGCTTTGTAGACTTGATTGACTGAGTCTAGAGAATATCCATCCTGTTTAGATGCCCTTCAGGGAAGCAGGTTGTTAGACCTCCTACCAGATGGAGAGACAAGCCTGCACTAAACGCTGGGATATGAGCTCTAGCAAGTGGGATTTGCCTGGATTTCCCTGACAGTTTGTGGCTTGCTAGGGTTTTGTCCAGCTTCCTTTTGACTCTGGAATGAATCTCCTCTGCCTCTGCCCTACAGCTGAATGTAGAACAGTTGTTTCGCAGCTGGGAAATGGAAGTATCTTCTGCTTTGTTTAGTGGAACAGTGCTGGTGGAGGGAGTGGGGCCTGGGTGGGAAGGGGAGCTTTTTATGTAATAAGACAGCTACTGTATTTCAGTGATAAATGTGTGTTTCTGCTTGCCAAAGTTAGTTATCTTTTACTCACCACGTGTAAGGTTGTGGTTTTTCGTACAGCTGGACAGGCTCGCTCTGTTGTAGAGGACACTAATGATCTCATCTCTGCTGAATGCTTGTGTCACACCATGTTTCTGCTCTGTAATAGTGAAGACGTGGCTTGCTTTTCTTTACGTGAGAAGTCTGTGCCATGGGCTGGAGCCGTGTCTTCCTGAGACTGAAGCAAAAGCTTACTTTAGACAACAACGTTGTTATGCCAGGGCAAGGGGTGGTAACCTGCTGCAGGTCTCACATGGCAAAGGAATCTGGATGTTACTTTTGACACTCACTCTACTCCCCTGTCTCTGTAGGGGGAACCACCTGTGCTGTGGCAGTACACAATCCTTTAGAGACAAGTGAAGCTCCCATGGGGAGCCTGTGGGGATAGCAGACTGTCTTTCCATGGCTAAGTTGAGCACAGCAGCACCCTAACCACCCTCTGCTTTTCCTCAACTCCCATCCCGCCTAGACTTTTTTTCCTTGCCTATTCCTCTTGATTGTAGGCCATGTGGTATTAAAGAAACCCCATGGATGAAGATGTCTCTGCATTCCAGGAGTGCTTTGTTTACTGACCGAACAGCATCAGTACTGGATGTAAGATAATTGTCTGACAAGACAATGCACTGTAAGGAGATTTCTATTAAACATCTGTTCATCACTTCCAGAGGGATGACTTGGAATAGGTGCATGAGCCTAACGTTGGGTTGGTTTGGGTTTTTTTTCCCCCCTTTGTGCCCCTCTGCCCCGTGTCCCTGACTTGTGGAACCAGAATTTAAAAATGATCCCCATTTTTACTTAATCTAAATGGACCATTCAACCTGTTACCCACTAGGTCCTCTGTTTGTCTGAGGTGGAGCAGATCTGCTGAGCATCTTTAGGGAGAAGCTGAAGCATAAGGTCACTCTGGGACAAGGTACTTCAGAAAAGCATTTCATCAGCATGGTAAGGGGCAGACACTACTCTAGCAGTTGGGTCCCCCTGAGCTGGGTGGTTCTCTTCAGTACTCGGGCCCTTCCCTCTCTCCCAGGCAGAGTCAGGCAGGGGGGAGTGTGCGAGTACTAAACCAAGCAGTGCAACCTGTAATTAAGCCTCTGCTGTGTTTACATGTTTCTTAATTTGTCGTCTTTTCAATGGCTGTATTTTAAAACTTGGGATTTTTGTCTCTCCAATTAAAAAGAGCCAGCCCTGGCTGTCAAATGCTGTGCATGAGTTTGTCTGATACGATTTATATTGCCTGGCCTGGGTTGTTTGGGTTTTTTTAATGGTATTAAGACATTTCTCTTTAGTTCCATACTGTGTACCCCTCCAAACATGCTCAAGGAGTTTGTCCTCTGTTATCTTTATAAATTCTTGGTCTTTCTTTAAGCTGTGTCACTGCTTAGAAGCTGTGCTGATGGAGGACCCAGGTAGCTTAAAAATAAGCAAGCTAGCTTTATTTTAGTACTGACATCGGGGAAATAGAAGAAAATAACATGGGAAGTTTTGTACCTGCAGGAAGTTAACTGTGATCTCCTTTGAAGGCTGGATGTGTATATACATCTAAATTTTCTTGTTCTAGACAGCAGCTTAGCGATACCTTTCTGCAGAAAAATGTTCCGCTGCAGTTCATGGAACTGCACTGGATCCTGTAGTAAACATCCTCAAGGAGGATGTACCTGTTTCATCCTTCAAGATATAAATTGCAGATTTTCCCACTATTAAAAATTGAGTAGCTGCAATTGATTCTAAAAGGCTTTATTTAAAAATCAGCAAAAATAACAGTGTGTCAGAATAAGGGACGTGTGGCTGCGAATCATGTGCGGGCGTGTTCTCGTTGCTGCGATTGAGCAAGTAAACTTGAGAATTACGCTGGTTTAGGAGGAGGCATCATCAGCGGGCTGGGTAGAAGCTGTGCTGCTGTCAGTTTCTTAATGGGGCTTTTCCTCTTCCAGGCCCAAGACAAAATCAAATTCCTCTGCGTTGAAAAGGTAGGGAAGAAAAAGCCGTCAGTGGAACTTCCAAGTTGTCTAAGCGAGGGCTGCCTCTCAGAGGGAACGGCACCACGAGTCCAGAGAAGAAGGTTCTTACCTTTTGTCAGTGGTTGGATGGAAAGACGTTGTCTTGTGAAGAGCATCATGTTCTTTAGGGGGCCTCCATCTGCTTTATGTGCCAAGTGGTGAGCCTTGATTTCAGAAAGGGGGATGAAACGTTTTGTCATCCGCTCAAACTGGACATCCACCTGGGGAGTGATGCGCAGCAAAGGAGCGTGGTTGGAGAAGGATATAGCCTCCAAATGTCACATAAGATCTTTGAGGGGATAAAGATTTTAAACTGAGCCAAATGACTGATATGTACTACCTTATAACGGTATGGAAGCTTTTCCTGGCTCAAGGCTGAAAGAACATTCAGCTACTTCTGGCAGGTGATTTGTTCACGTGAATCTTAGCACTGTGCACTAGCAACACACATTCATGTTGTCACAGGCAATACAAAATTAAGATGTGGGATGTAACCAGCCCGTGAGCAGTCACTTCCCTATAATTTAGCATGCCTCAAAACTACAGCTTCGTTTGCTGCTGAGAGTGGTACTTAAAGATGTTCCTTCTCTTTCCTAACCTAGAATTCTGCCATGAATGGAGGTCAGCTCTGCATCCAAGTAAGATTTGAAAATTTAGGGAGATACATTTGGCTAGCCTTCTGGAAGAGACAGGGAAAAAGGCAGAGAAAACAACCAGGACTGGATTTTCTCTTGAGAAAGAAAAAGGTAGCTATGCCAGGACAGAAGCTTAAGACGACAGGCAATACGATGCAGAGTGGCTTCTACCTTCACTTGGCTTGCACAAAACGCTTGAAACAGTTGTATTTAGATTACTACATTACCATGGACCATTTGGGGTTCTCTTTTCTGCTGGAGGAATCATAGTGAGGATCCTTCTGATCAAACTGTGTGTGATCAGGGTATGCCTCCTTTACGATCTGAAGCAGAAGGGGAGAAGAATGTGAAAGAAGTTCCCATCAGCTAAAAACTACGGTCAGCAAAGGGTATGAAATGCCCTTGAGCAGGCTGTGACTAGACATAAGGAATAATCCTGGTGCAAAAACCAGGCTTGCTTTCCCTGAATTCCGTTCTAATGGTGGGATATACTTCCTTCCTTTACATTTCTTGTGTTAAAGCACTGCAGAAGAGAATGGCTGTCAATGAAGCATCACTGTCTCTTTGGGGAGTGATGTGGAAGGACCATGTGCAACAGAGGAAAACTGGATAGATGATGATAGTCTTTATGACGAGTTCTTCTCT